GTTTTACATAGACTTCCAGATGCATCAACAAAATGTATACATGTGTAAAGAAATAGAATGCATACAATAATGACTTTTCATAACTGAAAATGTTTAGGGCACCGAAATACCTCTTATTATTGTTGCCTTGCAATTAGACTGCACAAATGAGATCTATATGCTTTGATGATCAATGTATGTATATTTTCTAAAATGTCTCTTATGAATGCAATACAGTTGTAACTGACGGTAAATGTTGAAAGTCGTCACCCTTGTTACTAACTCAGGGAACTGAGGTTGTGGTCAGACTAATTACTGTTACTGCATAGTTATCTGCACACCTCACAACACCTGAGCCCTGACCAAGTCTGGGGACTGACACTGGATTAAGAATTGTTCAAACAGTGAGATTTTTCTAACGGAAAATAAAATACCTGTCATTCACCTTTCACCATGTGTGTAAAGAGGTTGTTGTACATTTTGTACTGCTAATTCCAATATTTTAAAAAAGAGTTTTTTTTTTACAGAATTCAGAGCAAATGCATAATTAGGAACACAGAACTAGTACCCACATTTAAATGACATCACATCTGGCAGAAATCACCAATCAATCAAACAGACATAAGGACAACAATATTGCTACCAGTAACATTATTAAAAATATCTACAATGAAAGCACCATAACCCAAAGACAGCAATAAATAGGAAAAATAGTGGAGTGCTAGAGTTCATTCTGTTTTTGTGAAAACTTTCACATTTGAAAAATACATTGACTTTGGGTATCAGAAACTGACCATTGGTCTTGGTATTAAAACAGCTGCTCTTTCTCAAATATGATAATGAAATCATTGTTGGTATTAGAAATCAAAAGTATTTGATGCTTGGTTTCACATTAAAAATTGAAAGTTGCATAGAGTTTCTAAGGCACTTAAGTTGCTAAAAGTTTGAGATGACACAGTATATAGGGATAATACTTCTGCTTGTACACATCATGTACACATGGGAATATAAATCAGTGCACTATTTCCGGGGATCAGAGGTCATATTCCGCTGCACATTGTTGGAGGTACCACTCATACAATTTGCCCTGTACCAGATGGGACATAGACACACATTACTCAGCAACACTGTTTAACTACTGAATGCAACACACTGTAACTGACCTTCTTGGTTTTGACAATATCCTGGATGTATTCGTTGTACTCGGTCAAAGACCTCTTCTCCTTTTTAGAGAGAGTTTTATTCCTTTGTCTTTGGAAAAAACAAAGAATTCAGTTGCAGCAGAAGTGATTTTCTTTTACCTATAGTTTATCTTTCACAACTGCATACCTTGCAAAATGCTTTGCTATGAAAAGCAGGAGGTAGCAAGAAGCCATGAATAAAATCACAAAAACAACTTGTCCATCTTCTGGTATCCACTCCCATAAGTACAGTACTATTCCCTATGTAAATATAATGAAAAGAATGCATCTATGAAAAAAATTACAAAATATAATAATAAAAAGAGACTTACAGTTAAATTAAAAATGTTTTTTGCAAGGCCTTCCCCAGTAAGTTCTTCTAACTGCTCTTTGGAGAACGTGTTCACAATGAAGCTAAGGATGAAGAGCAGAGGGAGGAAGATGCTCAAAGCCCCATACAATAATGAGTACAAGCGCACACTTTTGTTGTAAGACACATCAGACCTGGAAACACACATTAAATAAAATTTTATTAGAACTGAACCTGCAGTGCTATAGTATAGTATACAATATAGTATGATAAATACAAAGACCATACCTGTCCTTCTCCAGTCTGCTGCCGATGGAGGCAGAGATCAGGTCACAGTCTTTCTCTAATTGGTCCAGCGTCTTCTGTACCGCCTGGTTAATCACCTTTTCAATCGTTTGACAAACTCCATCTATCTGGTTCACGCAGCGACTGGGCTGCAATAAACAATAATTTGATTATAATATTATATATATATATATATATATATATATATATATATATATATATATAATGTGTGTGTGTACATATATATATATATATATATATATATACACATATACATACATACATATATATACACACATACATACATACATATATATATATACACACATACATACATACACACATATATATATATATATATATATATATATATATATATATATATATATATATATATGTACACACACATTTTTTCTGCTTATCCAGGGCTGGGTCGCGGGGGCACCAGTCTATTTTTTTTTTTAACAAAAGAAGCCAACGATTGTTAATAATCAAAAAACTCAAAGGACTCTATGTTTCTCCATATCTGTTATTGCTGTTCATCATCCAGCCCATCGTTTTTTTGTTTTGTTTTGTTCCACCTGCTTTTTCAATATGCTCACTGTTAAAAAAATGGTCTAAACTCACAAAGATAACACACATAGCTACTAAAATCATAGAACTCCCCACACCCCACCTTGCAGATCTTAACAACATGGCCATTGGATGCATTGCATTCTCCATAGAACAGGACCCCACTCACCCTCTACAGGAACATCTCACCCCTCTGCCCTCAGGATGGAGGTATAGGGCACTCAGGTGCAGGAGGGCCCGCTTTGACAGAAGCCTGATGCCCTCAGCCATCACATTGTGTTGTGCTGTGTTTTTGCTGTATGTGCTAAACAAGCTCTTTGTGCGTGTAAATGAATTTCCTCTTTGGGATAATAAAAGTCTAACGTCTAAAAGTCTATATAAATACACACATATAAACACTTGGGAAAACAAGGACCCTTAAATCTGAAAATCTGAATGACATGAGCTCTGTTAATTACATACAGAGTACCTTCTGTGGGTTGGGGATGTATATTGTTGGCATCTCAAAACCGCATTTATTGAGACCTGGACGACGACAAAGCTCTTGTACAATCTGCATCATAACCCTCTGCCAAAACAGACAATTTGTGCACATTAAGCAGTAAACTAGGTAAATATGAATGTGTCAATGTTTCATTTCAAGCCATTTTGATGTATTAAAGAATTACAAGAAACATACCTGTCTGTCGGTTTCTTTTCCAGCCTCGTCTGCCTTGCTGAGGTAGAACAAAAGCTTATCTCCACAAGTTTCACTCAACCGCTCAACAATGTTAAGAGTCCGCTTACATAGAGCCTGACCCATTGGGTCAAAGAATACGAATATCAAGTCAGATTGTTGTCCTGCACAAAAAGCAACATGTCCAATAAGACCATATCTTCAGTACTGAACCTAAAATTTAACAGAAAACATACCCAACCAGGTGATGGCACTGTTTACATCAAAAGGGTAAATCATGTCTCCATCCACCAAACCTGGAGTGTCAATAAACGTTACCAAACTAAACTTCTTCTGTTTTGAGGTAGAAATCTCAGCAGACAGGTAGTCGAGGACACCTAGAACAAACAGGTATCCATGAATGAGCACGTATTTTTTATGTTAGGCCTGTTTAATTTTATAAACAAAAAAATATACAAAGTCTTTGGACAACAATTGATTAAATTAAATCTAGCTAATAGAGAGCACTTTTTAAATCAATTGTCTTTAAATGGACACAAAAGTGACATTTCAACAGAAGCCACACCTTTGACAACTAACTAACTAACTAACTAAATAACTAATTAAATAGCCCTATAACCCAGTTGTCATGGTTACACACAACAGCTCTTCAACTGGCAGCTTTAGCATGAGCTGTTGGACATAAAGCTAGCCAGTGAAGAACGACTGTGAGGCAACGCAAAGAGAGCACATTTTATGTCAAGTAACAAAAAAATATTTTTACATAAATGAACAACCCCATCAAAGGAGTCTCTGCACAATGCATGCACAGACTCAAAGTCTGGCACTTAAATGGATTCATAGGAAAGGCAAGTGTCAACAACAACACAAATCACATTCTTGTACTGCAGAGAGCCCTCAATGCTAAGCATTCCTTTGCATTTGTGTTCAGCAAACAAAGGAACCTCATTCCAATAAATATATGTAACAAGATCCACAACAGTTATAATACAAGACATTAAAGGTACAATTTATAGGGTAGGACCACTAATGAGCAAAACTCTTGAAACTAGAGCTAAAAACTGATGGGTACTAGGTTCCTCATGTGACTGTAACTGAGAAGAAAACACGAGCCGGTGCTCAGGAAAAGGGCAAAGCACCAGTCATGCTGCAGCACTAAAATGGCCACAAGCAAAACTACACAACAGGTAGTTGAAAATAATAAGAACAATATTTCCCTTAAGCAACGGCAATAACACATTCCAGAGCAAAAAAATGATCTTCTTTCAAAGTATGTAAAGGGATTTTGATGAGTCATCCTCTGTTCTGAAAAGAATAAACATATGTCTGATGCATCAGATTTCCAGAAGCACTGTTTGAGTTGTAAATCCAGTTTGTATTCCCGAGCTGATCCAGAGTGGAGCTGTGGAAGCTCTGAAAACTGTGACATTTTTCAGCAGCTCCTTCTGAATCCACTGCACTGCTGTCGATGGGGCGTGTGACTCACAGCATACAGTGAGCTCCAGTTTGCACCCAGTGAACCCTCTCACACACACAATCAGTGCATGGACATACAGAGGCCCCCACCCCTCCTCTATGCCCTCCCTCTCAGACACACCCATGCTTTAGCATAAGCACAACCACAGCAACATGTGCCTCTGACACACACAGAGATACAGTTCATTGTATAAAAACAATAGACTGCTAAATGCTGCTCTTTCATGGAGGGACAGGTACATCTGTAGATAAACTTCTTTGAGACAAGAAGGAAAAGTGTTTGGTTAATAACAACTATAGCTATGACTCAGAGATAAAGATTAGTCATCCAGGTGGAAAACCTTCAACGCACAATGTGAAAAATCACATCCAATATGTCCAGCACAATTTCTAGGAACATGGCAACTGAGAGTGTGTTCACACAAGCTCACACATCATATAAAAAAACTGGTATTAAACTGGGACCTAAACCGGAGCTACCTGTACTAGAACAGGACCAAACCAAATCTACATTAGGACTAACCTAGGCTCAGATCAAAACCAAGTGTGAATGCTCCCTTAAATTAATTGCAATGTGATCTTAAATGTTTCCATGTAAAACCGACACCTGAGTATAACACTCAAGTATTCCAATGTAGAGATTAGAAGAACTTAATGATATACAAAACTAATCAGCGTATTAAATTAATTGTGTCCGTATAAAGAAATACTTGCCTTTGAACTCGAGGAGTGGTCGAAAGTGAGGGTATAGGTGTAATGTTGCATTTCCCTGCGCAAAGTAAAAAAGGACCACATGAGACCAAAATAGACTGAAACCTTTACAACCTTTCTTTTTTCTGCTTAAGCTCCTAGAGTGCAGCTAAAATGGGAGGCTCTGACAAGCATGTAAAGCACAATACACGTGTGAGGCATTATTCTAGGTCACCTCACAAAACAGATCTACATCTCAGTGGGTCTTACGTGCTTTGAGACCATATTATATAAATACATATTACAGAATACACTAAATTATATAAACTCCCCTGAGATATGTAGATACTGTATATGGGTAAAGCTCCCTAATCCTTGCCCACAACTCTAATTGTATTTTGATCATCTCAGACTGTAAACATTATTATACATTATTCCGAAGTTAATTAAAGTGTTTATGTTATAATTTCAAACGATGTCCTGAGTGTCATCTTATTACAACTTTCCTATCAGATCCTAAAACTTATAAACAAGACAAAAAGTAAAAGAATATTAGGATAGTATTTGATACAATCTTATTATAAACTAATCATACATCAAATTGAATTCTTGGATTAGACTTACAGTCAGTGATTCTCTTTTGCGGCCACTTGTAATGAACGTAAACCCTTGTGTTTCAATGGCAACACCTGTTTTTTGTATGTGTTCCTCCACATACCTGAAACCACAGTGCTTAGGTGTCAAACTACACTCAAATAGAGATGCCATTATTGCTAATTATATGTAAGAAAATAAAGTCTGTTACCAGTTTATGAAGGAACTCTTCCCAGCTGAGTGATTGCCCATTATCATCACAATGATTTTCTTTCTGGGAGGAAGAAGGCGCACTCCCAGGCTGTTGGCAATTTTCACCAACCCTTACAAAAAGAGACACAGTCAATAGGCAGCATGGGCTTGTTTATTGATGATAATGTTTATTTTAAACCCTTTTTCTGTTTAGAACTCTTAAGAGAACCTAGGTATACAATGAAAATCATACCCATAATAATGCAATTACAACAACTGACAATTGACACAAGACAATTAAATAGTCTATGTTTATGGTAGTAACAGTATCTAGTGATATTGGACCAGTGTTAGCCGCAAAGATGTACAAGTAATAGTTGCCTATAACAGGCATGGCAGATAGATTGTATATAGAGTATGCAGTCTATGATAGCTGACCTTTTACATTACAGTTGCGATGTGCAGCACCAAGGGCGCTGCCCTCCCTCAGGGCTGCAGAGCTGTACTGTCATCTATGTGACAGTGACATTGACAGACAGCTGATATTAGGGCACACTTAAACCGCCAGAACACCAACACCCTGAATATCACTGCAACTTTTTAAATAACAAAACTTCTGGGTGGTGGTATTTTATCGCGAAACCTATTCACTTAAGCGCGCCGCGCATATTGTTTTTGTCAGTGCAATTAGTCCGGGCTGGATTATTTACCGTGTTCGCTGTCCACATACAAACTGTGGCATTCTTTTAGTATTCTCTCACTCGGTGTCGTGATCGCAGACTCCAGAGGGTTTGCCACTGAGCGGGGCTTTCTGCCCGACATTATGGAGAAGACGGGTGGCGGTGGTTACCTGACCCTCCGCAGTTTCTTTCAACTCATAGTAGGGGAACAGTTTCAGTGTTGCACACATGAGCTGCTGCACAAACAAAGCGCCACCTAATGGTGACTCTCTGACAAGACATCCATACGTACAGTATATGAGGTGAGGTGGTTAGGACGCTTTGTGGAAGCTTCAGTTTTGCATTAGTGTAAATAAATGCATGCATACAGTAACCATGATACTAATATTACCTTCAAATAGGCTCTAAAACATAGCTTACTTATTCATGGAAGCTATATAATGCAAATCAACTGTCTATGCACCTGTCTGAAAAATATGGACAATATCCGAAATGGTCTATACTTGCCTGGGCCACGGGGTCTACACTACACCCCTGCCCTGCTACTGTAGCAGCGTTTCAACGACTTTAATGGATTTAACAGCGCTAAACCGCTCAAGCATCTGATCATGTGTTCAGAACAAAATGTTCCTTTGAAGAGTTAAAGGCTACCTTTATGACGTTTTCTTAGTGTCTTGTGTAGCCTATTCTTTTTTCATTTCAAACATTGTATTTATTCAGGCTATTTATTTCATTTTTGTGAAAAATGTAAATAAGATGGAGTGGCAGGCATCCTACGTTAGTATTGTAGGCTATTTATTATATTCTTAACGTTAGAAATTTATGTGGATCCAACTTTAACTTAGGACGAATATAAAACATAGAAACTATTACACGAGAACATCATTCAACACCCAAAACAAAAGTACTTTTGTAGTCTGAACATAAAGTGTTGTCTGAATCACTCGAAACTTGCAGCATGTGGGCCAGCTCTCTTGCCCCAAGTTGTGCCTGAAGTACTCTTGAGGAGTTGGGAGTCTCTCCCTCTCTTGCTGGGATCATATGCTGCACCTTACAAAGGCTTGCCATTATGAGTCCAGTGCTTCGTGTGGGCAGAGCAAGCTTTAGGCCTTTATCTTGCTCAATCATCATCCAGTAGCTCCCAAAATGAACTCAAATGAGGAAACAGAAGAGACAAAGAAAGAGGTAAGTTCTGTGATCTTTGTATTAGACTTTGTACCTATATTAGAGATGTGTTTTGGTTTTTTTTGTTTTTTTTTTCAAAAATGTTGTGCTTAATATGTGTGTGTGTGCGTGTGTGTGTGTGTGTGTGTGTGTGTGTGTGTGTGTGTGTGTGTGTGTGTGTGTGTGTGTGTGTGTGTGTGTGTGTGTGTGTGTGTGTGCGCGTGTGCGCGTGTGCGTGCGTGTGTGTGTGGGTAGTACTGGACAGTCTATTATGTTTAATAAGCTTTTGAACACATTACCCATTGTAGATAGAACCTACATCCTGAAGATTCAGGATAAAATAGCTAAAAGAACAAACAAATGTACTTAAAGGTTAATAAAAAAGATTTAATCACGTATTTACACTTTTTAGTGGCAACAAAATAATATTTGAAGAGCACATGTTACACGTGGTAAGAGGTGTCTGTGAATCATTAATCAGAGAGATAGGCTAAATGAGTTTAGCGTTGTAGAGTACTTCTATAATTTGCGCACATCAGTCAGTCCTTCAGGGAAAATCAAATCATTTTAGTGAATGTGAAAATGTTTTATTTATTTTACAAATACGAGTAGTTACATGAAGTGAACCTTTACAAGAGAGAAAATGTCATTAAGTGCATATATAAATGTGAGGCTTAATTGTCTACATGTCAAAGTAAAGGACACATCAATAATGATGATATGAGTGATAATAATGATAACAATAATAAATTGGAAAAATATTGTTCTGTTTCAGTTCAATAAATCGGCTATAATTGGTTAATTGTAGTAGTCCATTTTACCCATATTAACCTAACTATAGGCTAAATTAATATCAAATAGGGTGACCGCGGTAGCCATGCGTAATTCCAAATTGTTGCCTTTCAAATTTAAACTTATCGTAGGCTAGTGACAGAGAAATAAAGGAAAGTAGCCTATTGGCAACATTTTATAGCCAGGCTACTTCAGGGAGCATTTTGTTTGAAGATTTCGGGTTGTGACCAACTGGATAAAGGGGTTACTTTGGATGATTATTTGCCTGACCAGCCAGTCCCTTCTACAGCCTGTGGTTCTGGCTGGCCAGGTATGATGATTAGTAGTAATAGTATTATCATAGATTTAAAAGAAGTGATCCAATGACAGTGTTAGCTTTTAAACAGTTGTAGTTTGCAAGTTAATTGTTAGGGGGCAGCGGAGATCGTCACATGGAGCAGTCTATGAGGATATTGGGTGAGCGGTGGGCTGTGAGCAGAGCAAATTAATATTTTGCTAAATATTTGTGTCAGAATGTCATGTTGATAGACTTGTTGGAACGACTTTTCATTTAAAAAACAGAGCTCTTGATTTCCTTCTTAAACGGAGAGCTGCGTCTAATTGGTTTGGTCACAGTTCAAACACCGTGGAAGCACGTAGGAGTCCCCTTACGCGCTGTTACGGTATGACAAGGCGGTATTCACCAGAGGATAAAATCGTTGCGCATTCACAAATTAGTGTCTATTGGAAAGTCTTCTTTTCACTCAAAGAACTCAGTGCGCCTTGTTGTTTGCGCGAAACAGACAAACAAAATGCGAAAGGAAAGGGCGGATGAATATCTGCCTTTGCTGGTTAAAGATGTTGCTTCGCGTAGAAGGGTATGTCGTGTCAGAGAGGACTCCCTTTAATCTTTTTGATAAAGAATTGTTTTGGACAGTGAACTCATTCTTTTTAACTTTGTTAACAGTTTCCCAACAGATCATTGCTGCTGGCTGCTGGTGCTGCTTGTATTGGTGGGACCTTTCAGTATGGATACAACATTTCTGTCATCAATGCTCCAACTTTGGTAATTATTCTTATGTTAAAATTATTATTATTATTATTATTATTATTATTATTATTATTATTATTATTATTAATAATAATAATAATAATAATAATAATAATAATAATAATAATAAATTAATTAATTATTAGTATTATGTAAAAAATTTGCCAAATGCGTATGTTTCTTGCCCCCTTGTCTTAGTATGTGCACAGGTTTATAAATCAAACTTGGATAGAACGGTACAACAGGAGCATTTCAGAAGACTTCCTCACACTGCTGTGGTCTGCCATTGTGTCCATCTTCACCCTTGGTGGACTTGTGGGAGCATCTCTTGGTGGGACTCTGTCTGTAAAGCTGGGCAGGTATGGCTTTAGAATACACATGTTCAGTGTATTGTTGTAAACTTGTCATAAATATTACTGAGACCTACTTCATGTTGTGTTAAAGGAAAGGGGCACTACTGACCAACAATGCATTCTCACTGACAGCTGCTTTATTGATGGGTATTAGTCAGTCGACAGGTTTATTTGAATTACTTATCATTGGACGATTTTTTAGTGGTATAAATGCAGGTATGGAGTCTTTCTGTTGTTTTATTGTAAGAATTAATTGTTAGTAATGAGATCTTCTTATGGTATAAAGGCATTGCCATCTGTGTTCAACCTCTGTATTTGGGAGAAATAGCTCCTACTGCACTTCGTGGAGCGATGGGAATGGGAACCTCAATTTTTATAACTGGAGGGATTCTCACTGGACAAGTCATGGGTCTAAGGTAATTTTACTCGTGCGCTCATGAGTACATACAGTACCTTTTGCCTTACATTATTAGCAAAAACATGCCAAATGATATTGCGGTGCTTTCACAGGGAGGTTCTGGGCAGAGAGGAGCACTGGCCTATCCTGCTCTCCACCACTTGTATACCAGCCATAGTTCAACTAATCATCCTGCCCTTCTTCCCTGAAAGCCCCCGCTACCTTCTTATTGACAAAGGAGACACTGAGGGGTGTAAGAATGGTAATTGCACATGACTATAGCTCACCACAGACAACAGTCCTGGGTTCTATCATGTGATGACATTTTAGTAATGCTGAGATGCTCAGAAGACCCCAAGAACAGGTCAGATGAGAGAGATGTGAGGATAATGATCAGTCATGTGATTTCTCCCACAGCTCTGAAGCAGCTCCATGGGGCTGAAGTCTATGAGACTGAGAGGGAGGACATAGAGAAGGAGAAGCTCAATTCAGTGGGAGTTCGACCAAAGAAACCCTGGGAACTGTTCTCTGACCGCAGTGTGCGCTGGCAGCTGCTCACCATCATTCTGCTCAATGCTGCTCAGCAGCTTAACGGCATCAATGCTGTACGTCCCTCCTCCTTGGTTTTAATGCCATCAGTGCCCAATAATTTGGTAAATATGTTGTATATTTTATATGTCTCTTACAGATATACTTTTATGCAGACTATGTATTCAGACAGTCCGGTATCCCTGAAGATAAAATACGATATGTGACAGTTGGGACCGGGGCTTGTGAATGTCTCACTGCTCTGACTTGCGTAAGTTTACTAATACATTTATAAGAAACAAGAAAACCTTGTACTTGATTGTAGATCAGGTCTTAAACAATATGTCATGTGGCGTTCTGAGTTAAGGGTTCACGTCTTGTGACCTTTTGTGTGTCTCACAGGGAATGCTTATCGAATGCCTGGGTAGAAAAGTGCTCATCATGGGAGGATACAGCCTGATGAGCATCTGCTGCATTTTGTTCACACTCACGCTCACTTTTCAGGTAGTTAACCAATTATCTGTCTTTATTCTTTGTTAACTGACATGTAACAACGCATCTTTCTTTCCAGGATGCTAGTCCTGTGGTCCCATACTTGAGTATGGCTTGTGTGTTTGCATTTATTCTCAGTTTTGGTCTTGGTCCGGGTAACTAATTCAATCACAGCCTGACTTTGAAAACAGTGTGTTCTGTTATACAACATTAACCCTCAGATTTCTTTCTCATGGAGGTGGTGTGACGAACATCCTGACAGCTGAATTATTCACACAAGCCTCACGTCCGGCAGCTTACATGGTCGCGGGGACTATGAACTGGTGCAGCTTCTTTTTTATTGGCATGTTTTTCCCCTTCATTGTGGTGAGTATGGACCTTGCTGTTAACTTCTGATATTACATGATGAGTTAATACTCTTTGTTCTTGTTGACAGCTCGGACTGCAGCAGTATTGCTTTCTTGTCTTTCTCGTGGTCTGTACTACAGTGACCACGTACATTTTCCTTATACTTCCCGAAACCAAGAACAAAACATTTCTTGAAATCCAAAACGAGTTTGAATCATCAAAGAATAAAAAGTCCAACTGTATTGATGGAGCAGGGACAACACTTTTAACAACATCTATTTAACAGACATGGGATATTGTTTTGTTTGAGAAATTTCTTGTCAGAATCTACAGAACAAACTTTGTAATGTGACTGTAAACAGCTGCATAACTTCATACCTACACTGTAATGCTACTGGTGCTTCATTTCTAAAGACAGAATTTTCTATTCGAGAAGAAAGAGATATTGACTCTGTACTTTTACATTTTAATACATGTATATATTACTGTATACATTCATTATTATTTGGTTTGTTTATTAAAATTACTTGTGTTTACTTGACAAGAAAATCTAAAAAAGACAAATGCCAGTGAATGTTTTGATACTGATACTTAAAAGGACTGTTTAATAAAGTCCACAACTTCACCAATCAAAGTTTTGTATGCAGTTGAAATATTTCTTCATTCGCTCAGCATGTGATCTGAAAAACAAAGGCCTCATTCAGATTCAGAGGTAAACTAATGCTTAGTTAGGGAGATAGTAAATATTGAATGTCTGGAAAGAGCTAAATTGTGGATTTAAAAAATAATTATAATAGAGCTCAGGCAGAAAGAAAAAAATAACTGTTAACTAAATCAAATGTTTCTTTAAAAACTAGAAAAGCACTCAAGAGAGCGCAGACCTCCGCCAAGGACTACCCCCATTTTTTATATAAATTGCGATAAAATCAGTCTTCTGGATCAGATCCGGATCAGCCTTTGGAATATGAAAGAGGATCCCATTGTCCATCCCTGAGTCGAATTTCATGGGGTTTGGTCAATAATTAACCAAGATATTGAGAAACAAAATCTTTGGCCCCATTTACCACAATGTTAACAAAAATTTCAAAGTGATCCAGAATCCAGGATTTCTTCCGGATCACCCCCAAAATGAAATCAGTTCTTCCTTTTCACATATCCAACAAATCCTGAAAATTTCATCAAAATCGGTCCATAACTTTTTGAGTTATGTTGCTAACAGACAAACAAAGAAACAAACAAACAAACAAACAAACAAACAGACAAACGCCGGTAAAAACATAACCTCATCGTCGGAGGTAACAAAACCAGTGTAAATACAAGACTCATAAGCAAATTAAAAATGTGGAATGGAAAATGAAACTGACAAACGTTATGGGGTTAACAATGCATAAAAGTCTTTAACTCTACCAATCAAAGTTAAATAAAAAAAGAAAAAGCACTTCCCGTCCAGTAGATGGCGGTAGAACACGCAGTGAAGTTGGACCGTAGACTAAAAGCAACATGGCGGCCTAGGCAAACCACGCGTGTTTGTTGACATCTGTTCAATACTCAGTTTGAACATCTAAGTGATCGATTACCAATCAGGGAAGTTATGTCGCGACTCATTGTCAAAAATCTTCCCAATGGGGTAAGTACATACTCATCCAAATTAAAACGGAAGCTGTTTTGGGCAGGGTAGGCTAAATTCTCCTGTACATCTCCAGATGAAAGAAGAGAGATTCCGTACGATGTTTGCTGCTTTTGGCACGCTCACAGACTGTACTCTGAAGTTTACAAAAGACGGGAAGTTCCGAAAGTTCGGCTTTGTGGGTTTCAAATCCGAGGAAGACGCGAACAAAGCGTTAAAACACTTCCACAAAAGCTTCGTGGACACGTCTAGAGTAACGGTATGAATGCGACACATGCACGCAGATACGGTTTCCCCAATTAGCGTAAATGAGCTCAGCAGTCATTTAATACAAGTATTACATATTGTAGGTGGAAATGTGTAAGTCGTTTGGAGATCCCACAAAACCAAAGGCGTGGAGCAAGCACACCCACGACTCTAGCTCCAACAAAACGACAGTGACCACAAAAAATGATGTAAAGGTGAACAAAAAGGTGAGGATAAGATGGACAGAACCATTTAAAATGTTGTGTTGCATCTATTTTGATCACTGTTTTCATTTTAGGAAAAGAAAAAAAACAAAACTGTAAATACACTTGAAAATGTAAGTAATTTGTAGCATAAGACTAATCCCAGAATCCCAGTTTCTTTGCTGCACTGTATCATCCCATTGTTATTTTCTGTTGTCATTATTGTAATTCTAATGTTCACCTCACAAATTTTGCTTACTGTTGTCATTTTTTGCTATTGGCTCACATAAGAAGATCCCTTATGTCCAGTATATCCAGTTTAAACATATCTGGTGTTTATTAGATGAATGAGGATCAGGGTTTCAAGGAGTTTCTGTCAGTGCATCAAAACCGGAGTCAAGCACCAACTTGGGCAAATGATACTGCACAACAACAAACAGAGACTAGCACAAAGTCAGAGTCAAAAAACAAGAAGAAACCTGATATGGATGATTATCTCAACTTTGACTCAGATGAAACCGAGGATGAGTATGAAGAGGAGGAAGTGCAGTTAAGTGAGGATAAAGGTATGCTTGGTAAAGATGAGGAAAGAACAAATGTAAAATTTAAACAGGCTTGATAATGTCCAAATTTTATCTTCCAGGTGGCGATAAAGAAGCTCTTAAATCTGGTTTGTCAGACATGGAGTATCTGCGTTCAAAAGTGTCAAACATAAAAGACATAATGGAGGAGAAGGAAAATGATGATGATCAAGACAAAAACACTTTTGGTATCAATGACAGTGCATATGAAAGTAGTGACAGAGAAAATGTGTCAGAGGCCAAAACTGATGTTCATGCAAAGACTCAGAAACAAGGCAAGAGCAAGAAGGCTTCCAAGAGTGAAGTAAGAGACATTGTTATTAAGTTCACATCACAGCTTCTGTCAATACATTGCATTCACCTTCTAGGATTTGATGAGTAGGGGCAATATAACTATGAAAGTTTCACTGGTTTTGGAAATAATATCTAAACTGATCATCCACAAATGATGAATGTTAGTATTATATGTTAGGGATTGGCTGGCTTTAAGTCATTTCAGATGACAACAATCACATCTTTAGGGTTTAATATTGGCACCACTGTATAATTCATAAAAATTAGCCATGTATCAATGGGTTTCAGATTTATGAGAAATTGGAATTATTAACCATTGTCATAGCAAATAACATTTTAAAACAAAATATTATATATTTTGAATGGGTCCTCCAAAATATTGCATGTAACAGGAATCTGAAACCCATGAATAGAAAGTATCATTACTGTGTCCATGTGTTTTCTGTAGATGGAGCCTGCCACAGAGTTCACCGTGAAACTTAGAGGAGTCCCTTTTAATGTCAAAGAGGTTAGAGCATGTACTCTGTTATTGCATTTTTTTAACAATGCTCTGTACCTTTAATTGAATACATTTTTTGGTATTGTTTTAATAGCAACAAATTTGCGAGTTTATGACTCCACTGAAGCCAGTAGCCATTAGAATTGGAAAGAATGAAAGTGGCAACAGAACAGGTAACTACGTTAATTACATATAATGGGTTATCTTATTTGAATACACAGGTATTTTGCTTCAGTAGCCTACTTCATATAAAAATGGTGATGTTTATAATGTTTTTAGGTTATGTGTACATTGATTTACACTCTGAAGAAGAGGTGCAAAAAGCTTTAAAAAGGAACAAGGATTATATAGGTAATATACGCTTTTATCTATAACCTAATTCAGATGGTCAAATATATTGTTTTATAAAGATGTTCTAAATTGTTAACATTTTGTATTAATCAATTTAAGGTGGAAGATATATTGAAGTCTTCAGTGTGGACGCCTCTGGTAATAAGCGGAAAACACAACATAAAGAAATTGACAGAAACTTTTCCAGGAAGCTCAAGGAGGATGAAGAGGAGGAAGATGTGTCCGAATCAGGGCGTCTTTTTGTCAGAAATCTTTCTTACACCTGCACAGAAGAAGAGATCAAAGAGCTTTTCACCAAATTTGGTCAGTTTGTAACCACATTTATACACACACACAAATAAAAAAATTAAGTTTAAATGTACAAGTTATGTTTTTGCAGGCCCGTTGTCTGAAGTGCTGTTTCCCATTGACACACTGACCAAGAGGCCAAAGGGATTTGCTTTTGTAACCTACATGATCCCAGAAAATGCTGTCACCGCTATGGCTCAGTTAGATGGGCATATATTTCAGGTATTAAACTGAATTAATTTTTTGTGGTTTGTCTACTCTTTTGATTAAGTTGCACATGATTTGCTAAATTGGCATCCAATAGGGTAGAATGCTTCATGTGTTACCTTCAACAATTAAAAAAGAAAAGGCAGAGTCAGATGGAGGCCCTGGTTCTTCAGCTTATAAAAAGCAAAAAGATGCTAAAAACAAGGCTTTGAGTGCCAGGTATGCATTATTATCATGAATCTGATTTAATATTTTTTCCCTCTGTAATTTGTACTGAATTTTATATATATATATAATATATATGTTTCTTTCTTTAGTTCTCATAACTGGAACACCTTGTTTCTGGGAACAAGTGCTGTGGCTGATGCAATTGCAGAAAAGTACAATACTACAAAAAGCCAAGTTTTTGATCATGTGAGTTTTTTTATTTTGTTATTTATTTATTCATTTTGTTGTACTTCTAATCTTTATGTTTTATCCTTTGCTTTGTTTTCTATAGGAAACAAAAGGAAGTGTTGCAGTGAGAATGGCTTTGGGGGAAACCCAAATTGTGCAGGAAACTCGACAGTTTTTACTGGATAATAATGTCTGTCTTGACTCCTTTAGTCAGGTAAATGGTTTTCAGTTAATGTAGAATTACACAGATGTTGATTATTTTTTAAATGTTAATATGCCACCACCCACAGGCTGCTGCTCCAAGAAGTACATCTGTGATTCTTGTAAAAAATCTTCCTGCTGGTGTGAATGTGTCTGAGTTGGAGGAGCTTTTCTCTCTTTATGGCTCTTTGAGCAGAGTGCTGCTGCCACCATCGGGACTAACCGCTATCATTGAGTTTTTAGAACCCACTGAAGCAAAACGAGCCTTTACTAAACTTGCCTATAGTAAGGTAGATGGCCTAAGTATGTTAAAAATGTGTTCTGCATTCAACTCAGCTAAACTATTATCTAAACTCTAGTTTCATCACGTTCCTCTTTATTTGGAATGGGCACCAGTAGGAGTGTTTCTGGCCAAACCAGAACCTGGTAAAATAATACCAAGCACAAAATGGGCTACATATGTGTAATCTTATAACTGAAGAAAAAAAAATATAATTTTAGAAAAAGAAAAAGAGGAAGAGAAAAAAATGACCATGGAAGAAGAGGAGGAGGATGAAGAAGAAAGTGTTTCTGGTTCCACACTTTTTATTAAGAATCTTAATTTTAATACTACAGAGGAGACACTACAAGAGGTTGTACTAAATATTAACTCAAAAAAAGAGAAGAAGTAATTGTAAGTGTAACGTTTTTTCATCGGTTATTTGTTGCAGAGATTTTCTAAGTGTGGAAAGATTATTTCCTGTACAATTTCAAAGAAGAAGGACAAAACCGGTAACATTAAAAATATAGTTTTATATTTAGTAGGGATGGTACAAGATCTCGTTCCACAAGATCATTTCTTACAATTCTAATGAGCAATACTAGAATGGAAACAAAATTATGAAATCAAATAAATACAAAATTGTGAGGCCAAAACTGGAAACTGAATCGTGAAATTTATATATTAGGAATTATTTTAAAATTAAAATCTCATCTTGTCTCTGTTCTCGTGGACTCAATCTTGTATCCCATCTCGTCTTGTGGAAATTGTGTCTCATCCCATCCCTAATATTTCATGAATAATTTGAAATACTAAAATAGTAGTACATATATTAGTACATAATAATTTATGTACTAAAAGTTTTCTTTTTATTTATTTTGCTCCCAAAGGAAAGCTGTTGTCAATGGGTTATGGATTTGTACAATATCAAACAGCTGACGCAGCACAAAAGGCCATAAGGCAGCTCCAGGTAAGCAGGATTTTCAACTACCTTTTAAATTTTCATTATCACTGCAGTCTAATAATGCGTTTCATACATGTATTGTGTGTGTTTTTTTTAGCACTGCAATATTGATGATCACCAGTTGGAATTAAAGATTTCAGAGAGAGCTACTAGGTAAATACTGATGATAACTGATGTGGATTGTTGAATCATAAACTCTTCACATATACATTTTAGGTTAGATGAAGTGACTCACAAGAAAAAACAAAAGGAGAAAAAGCAAACTGGATCCAAAATACTGGTGCGCAATGTGCCCTTTCAAGCCTCTGTGAAGGAAATCCGTGAACTTTTCTGGTACATTGCATTAATGTTTACACTGTTCTACATACTGTATGTAAATACATTTCAACTATTAATTTACTTTTGATCTTTGTAGTACATTTGGAGAATTGAAGACCGTACGCCTTCCCAGAAAAGCCACTGGTGCAGGAAATCATCGAGGATTTGGTTTTGTTGACTTCATTACAAAACAGGATGCGAAGGTGTGTGAGATATGATGAAAGGATATCTAAGATTTAGCATAATCCTGTTGTATCTTGCCCATAGAAAGCGTTTGCTGCACTGTGTCATAGCACACATCTTTACGGGAGGCGTCTTGTACTTGAGTGGGCTGATGCTGAAGATACAGTGGAGACACTGAGACGAAAAACTGCAGAGCATTTTCATGGTATGGATTTGAAGTATTTTAGAATTTCGTGTTAACTTAGCTGGATACACATAATAAATATGCTTTTTCTCACCAGTGCCATCAAAAAAGCAACGGAAATCTGAAGTACTGGAAGGAATTTTGGAAACCATGGAAACGGATAATGTGACAGAAGATAATTTATAAAAGTCATCATTTCAAGAGACTTATTTATACAAATGATCCAAGAGATGAACGTAATATTAAATTGACTTATCTGTATTGTTAATGTGTTTTTATTTTGGAAGACTTATGTAACTCACGCTGTAATGTTTATAAAACGTTGAATGATATATAGCCATTCTGTTTTGTGTTGCGCATATTAGAATTCACGCATATTAGAAGTGTTTTATTCTGAAGGGTTCTCGTCTAGTCATATGAAGTGGGTAGCGGTCATGTGATTTGCCCCATTCAAGATGGCTTTCAGTAGAGTTCAATATTGTTTTGGAGCTTTTGCTATTCGTGATTTGGCAGTATTTTTATTGTTTTGTGTGTCGGTTCGAGCTGAAATTCAAAGTGTAATCCTTAATAAAGAAAGTGAACAACTAGTAGTCGTGGATGGATTTCGTGAAGACTTTGTCGCCTGGGCAAATTTCACCGACCTCATCAAAACTACAGGGTGAGAATTTGACAAAACATTCTAGCCAAGTTTACCCAAATGTTAAAAATAAAATATACATGCTTATGGAAACCACGTGGGTTATGTGTACTCTTTTCACCGCTGTAGTGATGTTGGATGGGGACAATTTACCTGTAGTACAATGCTACACATCTAATGGAAAAGACATGTCCCGGAGATTTTATTAAAGTCAGTGGATCACGGGTTGAACCCTTTGGGAGACAATGCTGACCTTCTAATACTGGAGATAGTGATACAAACCCCAAATACAAAACTATTGAAAAACATTCAAAAGAGAAAAAAAATCAACCGTTGATTGGGGTTTCTCATTTTTACCAATAACTTATTAACCTCAAAAACTCCACACCTACTGAAACTCATTAACCTACTATTGGCCATATCAGTATAGTCTGACTTGATGATGTACTCAGATTGCTTATATTTTGAGTTGTATATAAATGATAAATTAAACAGTACCAGCACTGGCATGTTGTGAGCAGTAACTGAAAGCTGAATTTACTGAAAATATTTTGTTTCAGATGGTCTTTCTTGGAGGTCACCACCAACAGTCAGTACAATGACAGCATCCAGGCGTATGCAGCTGGTGCAGTGGAGGCAACTGTCACTTCTTCGGTCAGCACTTGAAATGTGGTAATTTATCTGCTCACTTTAGTCTGTACTAAGATATGTCTCTTCACATTTATTTTTAGCTCATATACAAACATTGGATGAACACCCTAATGGGCTACTGTGGGCCTTTTAAGGCACAATCAGACTACTGTGACCGTCTGAAATATTACATCAATACAAACCTGCTGTGGGTCCAAGATCAAATAGAGAAGCAACCAAATTCTACCTATTGGTATCAGGTACACATTTCTAAAAGGGAAAGCATATGCTATAAACATAAATCATTATGACATTTTTGTTTTCTGTTTATTTGAAGGTACGTCTTGCACTGTTGCAGCTTAAGGGTTTGGAAGACAGTTACAATGATGAACTATCTTTTCCTTTGGGACCAATATCATTTAATCCCCTTGGATTTATGTAAGTAATTGTTTCTTGCTTTTTTATCATGAATTCATACATTTCAGTAATTGTTGACAATAACTATTCAGGCTCTTCCAAATGGGTGGAGACCTTGAGGATTTGGAGGCTGCTTTGAACAAGTCCAGTAAAACTCGGCCTCTTGGATCTGGCTCCTGTTCTGCTTTGATTAAGCTGCTTCCAAACAACAAAGATCTGCTTGTATCACATGACACCTGGAACACTTACCAGTCCATGCTACGCATTATTAAGAAATACATATTTCCCTTCAGAACTTCTCCTTTAGGTTGTTTCTGTTTTTTGTCTTTCCCCCTTTAATTAATTACTTTTAATTAAAATATTAATTATTGTTTCATACTTTTCTAGATGATGAACGAATTCCAGGAGGAACACAAATGTTCTCATCATATCCTGGATCAATATTTTCTGGAGATGACTTTTACATACTAAGTAGTGGCTTGGTGAGTACTTAATTCTTGGCATAGTTCATGTTAATGAAATACTAGTGAATATTAGTGAAATATTTTATCTACAGGTCACACTGGAAACGACCATTGGCAACAGTAATCCTGCTCTATGGGATTTTGTTCAACCCACTGGAACAGTGATGGAATGGCTTAGGAATACTGTAGCAAATCGGATAGCTTCTACTGGCAAGGAGTGGGCTGAAATGTTCAGCCAATACAACAGTGGAACGTAAGATTGTTTTTGCTGTGATGCCTAGTTATGATGGCAAATTCTACAGACTAAGAAGTCACATGTAGCTCATAAGTCAAAGGTCTGTAAAGATTGCATGTCTATCTTGCTCTAGATACAACAATCAGTGGATGATTATAGATTATAAACACTTCACCCCTGGTAAAACTAATCAAGATGAGAAACTCTTTGTTGTGCTAGAGCAGATTCCGTAAGTTTTTGCAAATTACATTGTGGATAAAGTGCAAAAAAATTAAATAAATGTATAAAGCATAAATACATAGTAATTAAAATCACTTTTGTTGCAGAGGAATGGTGGTGTATGAGGATAAAACTCAGGAACTGATGAAGAAAGGTTACTGGGCCAGTTATAATATTCCGTGAGTGCTTTTAATTAATTTAGATGTAACTTTTTAAAATTTTGTCTCTTTTACCGGTCAACATACAATTCTATTTTACACTTTCATTGTATTGTTTCTTCATGCATCTACCTCTAGGTATTACTCCAAGATATTTAATGCAAGTGGCTGCAATGAGCTTGTTGACAAGTTTGGTCCATGGTTTTCTCAGGACAAAAATCCTCGGGCTCAAATCTTTCGTAGAAATCAAACTGCAGTGACAGACATTGAATCAATGGTCCGCCTCATGAGGTAAATCTTTGAAGGTTATGTTATAGTTAAGTGTTAGTCAAATCACAAATGATGTTTGTTTTATCATCCCCTTTAAAAGATATAACAACTTCAAAGAAGACCCACTATCAAAATGTGAAGCCTGTGATCCCCCAGCAAATGCAGAGAATGCAATCTCAGCGCGCTCAGACTTAAATCCTGAAAATGGCACATATCCTTTTGGCGCTTTAAGGCAGAGACAGCATGGAGGAACAGACATGAAGGTGTCACATTTGTCTTTGTTTTAGCTATTGTTGTTTGCACTTGGCACTAACCTTTTGATTTTGTTTAATACAGCTGACCTCATATCAAATGTACCGTGACTATGGCATGCTGGCCATAAGTGGGCCCACATGGGACCAGGTTCCCCCTTTCCAGTGGAGCACCTCTCCATATAAAGACTTATTGCACATGGGCCATCCAGATAAATGGACATTCAGTCCAATAAAAGTGACCTGGAAATCTTAATGTTGCACTGATAAGAAAGGGGCCATGTGAGCAGAGCAATGCAATGAAACCCAAGGAAAACGATTGTGTTCCCATAATATGAACGTGACTGTTTTACACAAAAGGAGACCCTGTTCGATGCTGCTTTTTTTTTTTTTTCCATTTATACCACCAAGTTATTTGAGTGATTTTTTGTGTTGAAACATGTCAAATATTATAAAACAATGCACTGTATGTTTTAGACTTTCTAAATAAAGAAGTGATTTTAACGTTATAATACAATACATTACATTACATTACATGCAAACAATGGAAAAAAATTGATAAAAGTCATGGCGCTTCAAGGAGCGGGCATCATATTTACTACAGTGGGCGTGTCCTTGTTGTGTTCACTTGTTTCCTCAAATTCCTTCATTCCTTCAGGGGTCAATCACGCCCATGAAGAGAGACGACAGTTCCTTCCTTTCTTTCCTCCCTACTGGACATGATTGGCAGCTGAGAAACAAAGTATTCTGAGGCATGGTAAAGACAACTGAACTTAACACGGACCACGGAACAACATGAATCCTGCTTGGATTGGACAGTCGCTTGATCACGTGATCAGCTGAGTCTACTCACCACTGTCGACGCTAAATATTCAGTATTTCGACGTTTGTGAGTTTTGAAAGAAGTTCAGTGCTGGTGTTTTTACGAAACGTACGTTTACATTTGCTTACACCAAAAAAACTTCAACTTCGACGGCTAAAGTTTTTCTTTTTATCCTGTAAAAACTTTGGTATAATTCACCGGGAAAATACACGTAAGCCTTTGGAAGTTAACTCTGTCGGTCTATTTTGAGATTACTTGACGTCTGGTCGTACAGAAACATTAACAAAAGCCGCTCTTTTTTATAATACAAGTTGGTTAGTTAGTTTGTTTTCCGCCATTTTATAACATACTTAATGTTTCAGTCTGCATTATACGTTTCATGTAACGCGTTTAAATCGTTTTCCAATCCAATTGTGACCTCTTATAATGGTACTGTGGCAACCCATAACCAACTTGAAAGATTATGTTACAAAAAAACCACCTGGAGTCACTTTTTTTCTTTGCCTTATAAGTCTGGCTATCTCGTTCATCTTTCTCAGTGTTTACAGCTATAATCACATCCTCCCTAATCCAGATGTTGTAAAGGTAGGTATGTTTAAAAAAAAAAAAAAAAAAGTTAAAAAAGCTAGTCAATTATACCTGCATTATTTTCAAAGTTGTCTTTCTTTTTATAGGACTGGAACCACCTGCTTTTCTCCATAGCTCAGTATCACTTATGTGAGAAAAACGGCACACATTTTGCACAGCCAATTGGAACTTATAATAAAGAATCAAAACTTCACAAAGAAGACTTGATCTATTCTACATCAGTGGCAGTTTCTGTGCCAATACATGCTCGAGTCCCTCTTATTTTATCTTCTAAAGGGAGCTATAAGAGCATCTCCCTGTACACGAGTTTCACAGCTGGCCAGTTAAAACTTGAAGGTAGTACTGGAAATTATTATTTTTTTATACATTTGAAGGTTATGTTTATATTGATTGCATTGAATTTATTTCTGCAGGAAATGAAACTTTTAGTGCAACTATAGACTTCACAGCAAATGAGAGTTACGCATGCCTTACCATAAGAGAGCCATCTTCTCTGCTTTCTGTAAGCCCGTAAGTGTCTTAACCATTTAGGTCTACCTCTTTACACCTCCCCTCCTCCTTTTTGTCAACATTATGTATTATTTTTAATAAAGACAACCACCAACATGCCTCCAGAATGTGATTAACACACAAGTTATCTATACTGAACCAAAGAAATTGATGGCAACATCACAAAAGTGCTACAGTTTTCAAGCCATATATGACCCAACACTCGAAGTTATGTTGACAAAGGTAAATGCATTTATTATGTAATTTTACTAATCTATACAGACAAAACTTTGGACAGTTTTGTTGTTCCAGCAATTCCAACACCTTTTTTTTCTTTTTCTTCTTTTTTCCTCCTTAAATTTAGGAAGATCAACTTGTAGCTATACGACACCTTTTGGAAGTAGCTCTTGTTTTACTTGGAGTTTGTTTAATACTATGTCTATCTGTAAGCCTCACACATTCCCAGAATCTGCATCCCCGCTGGAAGGAGCAGGATTTTCATCATGTAATGGTACCAATCATTGTCATGTGAGCTTGTACGTTGTGGTTTGGTTTATTATTTACTATTATACTCTTCTTGTTTGTCTTGCAGGAACCTCTGGTCAAAAACTGAATGTTCTCTCTCCTTTGTTATTTCTCACAAAATCATTAGCATTACAAGAAATACTATAAATGTGATATTTACTTTGAGTTGAATTCTTTAATGGAATTAAATAAAAATGTATAAAGATCTCGTGGCTAAATTGCCATATTTTATCATTTGGTCAGGGCCAGACTGGAAAGTAAAATTGAGAATGGTTAAAATATAGGCCACATGAGGATTTTTTATATTATCAATGTTATATCCAATATATTATCAATGTAATATCCAATACATTATCAAAGGAACGATTTAGCAGCACCACCATAGGTATGCGTTGGATTTGTGGCGGTATTTGCTCCAATCGCGGTTGGCGTCTTTGGGGTTTTTCTTTCTATTGGTTGTTTGTGGAACCCGAGGGCGGGATTTAGCGCTAGAAGGAAGCCACTATCCGTCGTCGGAGTGTGTTTTTTTTCAGGGCCTGGATAAACTGGCTCATGTTTGGAAAAGGAGAGCCGATGTGTTTTTCTACTTGGACTAGTTCCGTACGAGTGTGAGGTTGCAGCACAATCGCCATCCGATGAGAAGGGTCTGCAAAAGAAATTAGTTTTCTTATTTGGAAAAGGTTAGCTAACATTACTGTTATGTTGCGCTAGCTAACCAACCATATTCAACAGTGAGCATTTTACGACTTAGGC